AACCCTGTTTGTAACATGGAAGGGAGGAATCGGCGAAGAGCGAGATGTGATTTGTGAATTTATGAATTAGGAATGGAAGTCGATTTTTATTATTTGCGAACATAGAAGAGAAGGAGAGCTGTGTTTTGATGATTTTTATTCTATAGACACGAAAAGAAAAGCAGAATGTAAGTGACATATTTACGAATTGATTAGGTATTCAACTAAGAACTTGGGCGTACAGCACACATGCATATGCGCGTATATATGTAATAAGTACAGACTTAATCTAAACTAACCGGTTAGTTTAGTTGTTGGTACTACCTAACTCAACCCAAACCTAACCTAACCCAAAACCAACCTAACCCAATCCGTTTAACCCTAACCTAAACCACGTAAATTCTAACCTAACTAGCCTAACCTAACCCAACCCACCTAACCTAACCACCTAACTTAACCAAACCCTTAAGCTAGCCTAACCAAACTTAACCACATATCCTAACCTAACTATCCTAAGTTAATCTACCTTAATCACATAACCTAACCTAACCCTACCCAATCCTCATCCTAACCCAACCTAACCACGTAACCTAACCTGACCTAACCCTTACCCCAACGCAGTGCAGCGCAACCCAACACAACCACGGAACCAAACCTAACTTAACCCAATCCTTATCCTCACCTATCCTAACCACGTAACCTAAGCTAATCTAACCTAACCTAACCTAACCCTTAACCAAACCAAACCTAACCTAATCTAACCTAACCAAACCACATAACCTAACCTAACCACTTAACCTAATCTATTCTAACCTAATCAATTAACCTAACTTAACCAAACCTAACCAAACTAACCTAAGCTAACTTATTTGCTTATGAAGTGACTGCACAATCTTGATGGTAAGTCCTTGTTACTCAAGCCATTCCTGAGAAATCTGCGAACATTGCTATATAAACCAAAAACCCTCCAATCCCAGGGGCTTTGCCCGTAGACCCCACCTGATCGCTGTGGACTTAACATCCACATGACATTTATCACAGCCTATTTTCTTCATTTCTGATATTATTTACAGGAAAATATAATAACATTATCATAAGCAAAGGAAAAACTTCTCACTGAAACATGAAATAATCTGTGGAGGCTAAGAATAACATCAGAAATTAAGATAATAAGTAACTGTGTGGAGAGTGAGTCTACAATGATCGGGTGGGGTTCTGGAGGCAGGGACCCTGATAAGGAAATACGGCAATCAGGCGGGGGTCTGGGGGCAAAATCCCGAGGTTAGGAAGTTTGTGTTTTCTCAGAAGTGGCTAGAGTAAAAGGGACTTACAGGGGTGCAGTCACTTCCTAAACAGTACCAATACTTTCATTTTATATCATTTTTGATGGAAAATAACAAGAGGTTCATGCATATTACAATGTGAATAACTGAAGCAAGGAATAATAACTGCAAGGTTGGATGACAATTTTAAACTAAAAAAGGTATATTCAGAATACTGGAGGACTATTCTACATAAACCTCATTTCAGGGATGGCTGCTTCCCCCTGCCCCCCACCTAGATTGTAAAATTTTCACTTTTTAAGTTCTGGCAGGCTAAAACCCAGTTAACCACAGTGTTGAAACATATTGATGGTATAGAAGGGGCTTTACCGCCCATACCCATGCCTGGTTTACAAAACCTTCTCCTTGTATACTCAGGTAGAATAGAGCCAAGGCAGATATTTGAATATGATACAGATAATTTCTTATATGAGGATAAAGTACTAAAGATAGGGTCAACTGCCTCTTGCACATGATGTATGGTGATGTGGCAAAGGCTAGCAGATATCCACCTCGTTAGTTTGGACTGGTACTCTATATTGCATTGAACAAATTTTGCCAGGGTATATATAGTAGACTTTGTTACTTTCTTTTGTCACTTTATGTATAGTATAAAATTGTTAGCTTCTTTTCAGAGCCAAAGAGGTGAATGCCGCACTACTTAAGTTAAAACTAGTGTTGTTGCTATAAAGAGAAAGGAAAAATGGGAAAGAAACAAGTGATCTGATTTCTTTGGCTTTAGCTTACAATAGTTAACAAAAAGTGTCATAGATATTTTATAGTTTGGTCTTCTTTGCCAGTCTGCAGAATAGCTATGACACTTCATGACATATTGGGCATTTTTTTATGTGGTAGATTTTTGGGCAATTTGTATTTCAGTAGTATGGAGGTGCACTGTATTTTTTTCCTTCTGTTTATCATTGTGGCAAATACGGAAACATAATCAGTCCTATAGATTCAGAAGAAACTCATCTCTGCATATTTGTGAGCCAATAATGTGCAATTTTACATTTTCATTTAAGTAGAGTAATTATGTAATAATGTGATTTACTTAAATGAGCTTACAATGATTTAGTTAAGAAAATACAAAGACTTTAAAGCATTGAAAAACTTCCTGGTGTCTTTTAGGCCCATCCCATACAAGCACTCCGTGGCACTATCAAGACTTCTTGCCTCCTCTTTGCTATACTATGGGATTGTATTCTGCATACACTGCACATGAGCTCTTGAAAGAAGCCTGTATTCTGATATAGCTCTTTATTCCAGAGAATGTTAGGGAACGCCATAGTGACAGTTCTCGTGCCAGAGCAACTTGATGGAGAGAATGGCGGTCATCTCTATGGGAGGTTCACCAACTCAAAAGGTTGGTAATGCATCTGCTCCATAATCTCTCGTGGATTTAGATAGATACAACCATGCTTTTAACGGTTTTATGGGATCATCATGAATGGTTTACAAGATAAATATTTTGTGTTGCATCTGTAGAATAGTTTTCAAGTAACTGAACTATGATTTGATATTATATATGCAATTGTCTGCATAGGAAAAATCACAAATTCATTTTACTTCACTTTCCTTCTTTTTGAAGCTCATCCAATTGACGAGAGAGAATCATACGTCATTGTGGTAACATCTGCGAGTTCAAACAAAAAGCCTCCCATTGGGTGCATTAACAATGACAGTCGGATCCAGACGCGAAGATCCACCAGAAACGTGTGGGTAGAACTCAGCACACAGCCACAGATTCAACTTCATTCAGTCAGAGTTAGTGGTGACAATGTGTGCCTTAGTGAAGTTAATCTTGTAACCTACAACTGCAAGGAGATTTGTGAATCGGAGCTCATCAGCCGGAAGTTCTTATACAGGGAAGGTGATGATCATGCGAACAACATTGTGCCATATTTTGTGAATAGTGTGCAAAAAGATTGTAAAAAGACCAATTCTTGCTGGTTGGTGAAAACTGTATTGGCTTTATTGTTGGTTTTGACTAAAACAATCCTATATGTGACATGGATGCCCAAAGTGCTCTTAGAAGGTCTCCATTATGTTTTAGTCAATAAATTTGACTACTCCAGCAATTTACTGAAACAAACTTTACTTCGTATTAAGCAGTTTGAGACTCTGGAGCATGAACTTAGAGAGAACAAGAGAACACTTGTAGCGGGCCGGTTATTGGCTATGATCGCAATAGACACTTTACTTGGGGTTTCAGTTGTGTTCCTGGTTAGCAGTCATGCCTCCCTCAACGATATTTATTCTATTTTTTGTAGTTCCACAAAGGTAAGGCTTTATAGTTTCCTTATCAAGATTTTCAATCATGTGTTTGTGTATAAAGTATCCTTTCCTACTTTTGATTTTGATAGATCATTTGTTTTACAAGTTCTGGGAAAGCAAAAGTAAATTTATTAACATTTTAAGTATAGCCTAACTGTTGAATTCAAACTTGGATATTGTCTTTTACCTTTGAATTTATTTGAAAGGCTTTAGTATATGGGATGTTTTCTGAAGTTTTCCATATTACCAGTTACGTGGATGTATAAGCAAACATTATAAAAGAAGAATACTGCTTTTATTATAGTATTGGTTTTACCAATTACAGTTGTAACCCTGTCTTCTTCTCAATAGCTCTTAGCATCAAGTGTCCAGCATCTGTTAGAGTGGCTGCGGGGAGCTCCAGCAGGCCTCAAGCTGAATCAGCCTCTGACGCAAGCACTCTCTGCATTCTTCTCGTATCATGTTCATCTGTGGAGACTTTATCTAGGTAATTTGCGGGTATTGTTGTATAATCAAATGTAGGCACATGTCAAATGGCACAGCCTGCTGTTGTTTTTCTCTCATAATTTTGAGGACTCTGTGATGTTTGTGATATAACAAATACACTTATTAGTAGATAAGAAAAAACATATAATGCAGAGGATATGAAATGATATTTAGAATAGCACTTCCTTTTTTTATTATTTTTTTTAATATAGTGTACAGTATTGTGAAACAATTTTTCTGCAACCATTGCACTACAGTAATAGGATTTGTAAAATGGACAGCTAAAGTTTTATTAATAGGAAAATTTGAATAAGATAGCAATCATTATTGTAAGAACATTCAGTAAGCACATTAATGATATCTAAAAGAAAAGAGCAGTGTTCTTTGTTCAAAATAGTTCTTTGAGTTCTTCTTTAGGATATTGCTTGGAAAGAATCCCTCAGCATCATTCCATACCATTCTCAGACATAACCCATTCATGTTCTTTTGCTGGTCAGACTTGGCAGATCCCGTGCTGAGGAGTCTGGCTTCAGTGTTCTTCTGGCTGGGAATGGGCGGAGCATCCGTCCAGGTGGCCATTTTGTCCGACTTGATGGACCTTGCCACATTGCACCTCTACTGCTTTTATGTCTATGCAGCCAGGTATAATGAGTTGCTGATTGGATTACCATTTGATTAATCTATTGATGTTATTATGATTATTGTTATTAGCATTGTTATGTTTTATATGTTTTTATTATAACCTAGAATTTGTCACATAGTACTTTCAGTGCATATGTGGATATATATAACCTAGTGCAGTTTTTTTTCTCTGCTGGATTAATAAAGATATTGATATTAATGATATTATTGACTTGTTATCTGGAATTATTATGGTTACTAATTATTTACTTGTATTTTAATATCCATGGATTGAGTTATACATTATTATGATCCATC